TTGATCACTATAGCATTTCCCCATAACTGTCTTGTTAAATGGAAAATCCTTTTTATATTTACATAAAGGCAATAATTAAACATACTTATATGTATATGTACCTATGTTCAAAAAAGAAATCTTTCTTTCCATGGCTTGGCCCAGCCATGCTCCACAGGCTTCATTTGTTGTTGTCTCTTGAGCTCTAGGACCAGATGGGTCTTCCAAGGCCAGAGCACTAGGCTCTCATTGGATTCTGTCCACCTGCTGTGTCTAGTCTGATTCTGTATTCCTCCTCACTAGACCAAGAGGGCAGCAATGTCATCAAGATTCAGTCCCCTTGTGTGGTCGCAGGACGGAGAGCTCACAGTGAGTCATGGCCTACCTGGAAAATGATAACAGGCAAAGAATGCTACAGGGTAGGGATACATTTTCATGATACAGAAGTTTAGGATCCATCCATAGTATTCTTTGGTGAATGGGAATCTGTGAATGAAGACAGAGATTGTCGATGTCATTCTGGACACAGCAGTCATCTATCTTTGCTGGTCAAAATCTCCTTCCTATTAGTAATCAGCCTTCTTATCCTTGGGCAGAAAGCACGGCAGAGAGACATGAGTGATCCAGGATCCATGGCTGGACTGAAACCAGGGAGAATTCATCTCATGAGGACACCTGGAGACCTGAGCCCAGCGGGCTGCTGTCATGAGAATCACTGTGAAGCTAGATGCTGTACCCTGATCTTCACACGCTAATACCTGGATGTCTGGTGGCTATTGAAGGCTGGGATATCTCTCAGACTGATAGGTAATTATTTACCAATAGGGTAAATAGAAAATACTGAAAAAAGCTACTTATAGGTACTGAGAGTTGAGATGCCTTAGGAAGTCCCAGGGCAGCAGTGCGGCTCTGCTGAGTCTGCCAGAACCTTAGGAACAATTGGAACAGTGGAATGAAAGGGAATTTTATCTTAAGGCAATTTAAAGATGACCTGAAGAACAGATGTCCTTCCTAAGATTATGAAAACACTAACACAGATAGTTCCAGTTAATAAGAAATTAAAACTGGCACTCATTATGAACTGTTAAATCGTGTATATGCACTACAATTACTCATATAAATGCCATAACCCTGTGCATGCACATAACAGAAAGCAGTTGTTTCTGCAGGGAAGGGGCGTGGCAGGTTAGCAGCAGCCCAGGCATTGGTGGGGAGGTGATGCCACTGAGTCACTGAGAAGCAACCTTCTTTTTCCTCCAAAGGAGGCTGGGAGACATGGGACTCTGCCCTGCTGCTGAGATGGGCACCCAGCTGCTGCACGTGGCCTTCTGTCTCCTGTGGGCAGGTGAGGGATGGCTACAGCTGGGCCCCTCACTGCCTCCCACCCCAGGGCATCCCTGGCTTCTCCTTGACAGGCCCCTTCAGACTTGGATCATTCTCTGTTACAGGACACATGGAGGCTGCCATCACCCAACGTCCAAGACACAAGCTCACAGAGACAGGAAGACAGGTGAATTTGAGCTGTCGCCAGAATGACCACCATGACTACATGTACTGGTATCGACAAGACCCTGGACATGGGCTGAGGCTGCTCCATTACTCAAATGGAGAGAGAAGCACTGCAAAAGGAGACATCCCCGATGGGTACAGCGTGTCCAGACCACGCACGGAGGAGTTCTCCCTCACTGTGGACTCAGCCACCCCCTCCCACACAGCTGTGTACTGGTGTGCCAGCAGTTTCTCCACGGTGCTGCGCGGCTGCCTCCTCTCTGCACAGAAAGTGTGAGGGGAGACAGAGGGCATCTGCTAGCCCCTTTGAAGTCTCCAGTGTCAACAGCAGTGTGTGCCAACTCATTCCTTCTCAGCCCCTATCAGATCATAGCTTGGAGGCTGCAGGATACAGATGTCCTTGCTTAAACATGTGTGCACCCTGGTGGTGGGATTACTTGTTCTGAATGACAGTGGCCATTGAATTATCATTAAATCAAATTGATCTTTAACAGGGGCAGGAAGATGCTCCTGGCAGAGTGGGATTTTATAGATGGAAGATATACAGCAGAGTTATTCATGAACTTTAGGATCTGTGTTTTTTTTGTATTAATCAGTTTCCTATCACTGTGACATAACGTCAGGGTAAACCTAAGGAGAAAAAGTTTATTTATTTGACTCACAATTTTAGGCATTGTAGTCAGTGTTCACTTGGCTGTGTTGTTTCCACTAGAGAAGTTGGACATCATGGTGGGGAGAACATAGCATAGCAGAGTTGATTGCTCCATAGCAGCCTGGCAGCAGAGAAGGAGGGAGCAAAGAGGAAGGAGAGAGAAAGAAGATAGCAAGAAGGAA